CTCGCTGGAGCTGTCATTCAAAAAACCTGTAGCAGATGCCGGAATCATAGATTTTCACGTGTACAGGTATGTAGGTCTTTTCCCATGTAAGATTAAGAGTATCTTGGAGAAGTTTCGGCGAGGTCCCACTCGCCATCCTCAGGCTGGTGCTTTCGGCTTCGTGCCAGTGCAAGCAGATAAACGTCGCCAAGATACTCTTAATCTTACACGGGAAAAGACCCAAACACACCTAGACACACACACACACACACACACATATATGTATATATATGTAAAGCTGGATCTCCTTTTAAGTGATGGGAAAGGCTGGGAGGAAAAGTCTAGTTTAAACTTAAATGAATACAAGAAGCTGAAACCCATATTCTCAGAGAGCAAACAATGATGTATTTGTTCTCTTAGATTTAGAAGGTCGCCTGACTCTAAAATATCTCTGGGTGGATTATATAATTTAAAAGAAAAACAAGAAAAAGACATATATATCCAGACAAAAGCATCAGTATATTACTACAGAAAATCTGCCAGGGACAAAACAAACAGCAACCTTAGACCTGGGAGTAAAGCCAAATTTTGGAAGATTTTTTTTTAAAAAATGTAAATTGGGAGTCATTCACCTTTCTGCAACCTAGAAGTCATACTTCTGGGGTCCTAACTAGATGATATTGTTTAACTGAGGGAACTCAAGAGTGCCCTATCTCTCCCCTCGATAGGCAGAAACCATTGGAGACAGATGGTCCTCAAATAACTAGGCCCTATGTCATGAAAAGCTTTATAGGTGACAAACTGGATTTTGAATTGTACCCAGAAATCAACCAGAAGATTCTAAAGGTGCACATAGCATCAGATAGGTAACTGCTTCCCCAACCAAAGCCAAAGATTAAACATTCTGACATCTATGGAGTCTGAACAGCTATACTCATTTGTTCTTGGCAGGATAGAGCCTTAGGATGTTCCTCCCCATCTAGACCTGAATAGCCTCAGGACATTGACATCATCAATTGAATGGCTTGGGTCTGAGATGTACAATGAGATATTGTCTGCATATTGATGATACTGTGCCCCAAATTAATGGATGACCTAAGTGATTTCAGTTAGGTATTAAACAGAAGAGGTGAAAAGGTTGAGCCCTGAGGCATCCTACAAGTGAGGGACAATGGGAATAACCTCAATATTCAACCAACCTCAAGAAGTCTTCTTGGGGGGAAAATAGGAGGCAAGAGTATTATGCATGTTTGCTGTTTTCAATTGGCAATATACAGCAGGGTTCCCCAACCTCCGGGCCATGCCTCAAAACTGGCCTGAGGCCCATTTGGAACTGGGCCACACAAGCAGCAGGCTCTCTCAGCAAAGCTCCATTTGTGCAAGTGGCAAGCACATATAGGCTTTCCTCAACAGGCCATTGTTAAATCAACTCTTTTGCATAGTAAACATCCTATCTAATTTTCAAAGAAGCTATAATAATAATCTTGCTAATCTAATTGTGCTCTACCTCCTCTGCCTTCTTATATTTCTGTGAATTAGGGAGGTGTTTGTGCTGCATCTGCACATTTTATCTGTTCTGGACTTAAGATATGTTTCACCTTTTGTTGCTTTACATATCTCCATCCAGATTAATTTCTTAATCTCTACACCAAATGGCAAATTGAAGTCTTCAAGACTAACAGTTTGGGACCTGCTAAACCAGTGATGGGATTCAAATTTTTTTTACTACCGGTTCTGTGGGCGTGGCTTGGTGGGTGTGGCAGGGGAAGGATACTGTAAAATCTCCAATCAGAGGTGGTATTTGCTGGTTTTCCGAACTACTCAAAATTTCCGCTACCGGTTCTCAGAACTGATCAGAACCTGCTGAATATCACCTCTGTGCTAAACTATCCCAGAAACAGAATTCAACAGCTCAAGCAGAGATGATACCTTGGGGTAAACAGTGTGATATAGCAGCAAGAATCCCACCTGTTTCCTAAGGCCCACATTCAACCGAGGAGTTCTACTTCTTGTTATCTGTAGAACACTCCCTCTGAGACCCTGCAATGACTATGCAATGAGAATAGCTGTTGCCCATCACCTATCCCTTGAAGTTCCAATTGATACAAAATCTAAAACCTGAGTAGACTATTTATAAAGGGGGAGTCTACCTGAGCCTATCCACTTTTCAGTTATATATGCCAGATTGGTTCTCTCATTTGCAATAAGATCATGAATGAGAATGGATTTATTACAAACTGATCTGACATCCACAAGCAACAGCTGAAGCCCAGGGCTGCCACAATCTGTTTCCTGGAATACATACCAAGAGCCAAATATGAGGATCTTTAACTTGTCATCTCCTAGTGCAGCTGGCCCTGATGCCCATCATACCTACCTCCTGGCTTTCAAAAAGAGACCGGACAACCATTTGGTTGAAATGGTATAGGGTCTCCTGCTCGAGAGGGGGTTGGATTAGAAGACCTCTGAGGTTCCTTCCAACGCTATTATTTTATGTTCTATGTCCATCACGTTCTCCATGGTATTGTCTGCCTCCCCTTCCTCCTGATTCCCTCCTGTTTCCCAGTTGCCATATATTGGTTAATTGCAGATTTTGTCTGCTTCAGTATTTCTTAATCTATTTTACTTCACAAATAATACAGGTCTATTAGCATTCACTGACAGTAGGTCAAACCTCTACCCTACATTCAAGACAACTATATATTATAAGCAACATTTATTTTCCTTTCAAATGGCATGCTGTGCTATATAATTACCCAGTATTCTTTCAGTGCTCTGCTTATGTTCAGGATCATATATTTTACTAAGAAGGTCTCTTGATTATTTCAAGCTTCTAAGAGGAAATGAAAAGATACATTTAGAAAAAGGGATTTATTTTAAGAGTCCAAATCCAAGTATTTCAATAGAAATATACATATATACAGTTTAAAGGCATTGTACTTATTGTAGAAAGGACAATGATTTGAATGAACACAAACTTAATGTAATAAAACAGTACCTCAGGGTCACACGAAACATTACTTTAAATGTATAAGTAACTGCTATGCCTTTTACTAAAAAAACAACATTATGTACTTCTGTCCAAATAAAATTCCCTCAAAAGAAACAAAAAAATATCTGTAATGTTTGTTGTTAATTCAATGTCAGTTTAGACCAGATGGCTTGGGCTTGAAATTTGCATTGATGAATTAACAAATCACAGGAGCTGGATTGGATACAGAGGTGGACAATGAGTTCAATCTTCCCAATAATGACTAGAAGTTCTATACTTAAGTTTGGGTAAAAACAAACAAACAGAAATCGTCTTGCTGTCATGCTTTTAAAACCATTGGATTCTTATTTCAATCTAATATTTTAGAATTATACGAATAACTCTCAAACACTAATAATTCTAAAAACTGATTCACACCATTCCAAAATGCACCAACGTTAAAGATAAAGCATGTTGTATGCAAGAGAGGTGCATGTTTGTAAATATACAGGAAGAAGTGTGGTATCTATCTCCACTTCATACTTACAATATAAATAATGAAGTATATGTAGCAAATAAGCAAGCTATGTAAGGAATGAATCAGTTCTATGATTCCTCAACAAGGAAATACTACCATGAACTGGCACCATTTTTTATAAAAAGTTTCAGTCTCATAGTATGAAAGATATTCCCCAATAAGTTTAATAAGCTCTACAAACTGATATATGAATTCCAAGGCATTCAGAATCTCTCTCAAAGGTACATACACGCAGAGAGGAAATGGAACATTTGTAATCTTCTCTTTTACAATGAGAAACCCAAAGCATGCCCAGACTAAATTTATTTTCCAGACAATCAGAAAACTGCATTTTGACACATAAAACTGCCTAAAGTTCCTTCATCTCTCTCTCTCTCTCTCTGTGTGTGTGTGTGTGTATGTGTGTGTGTGTGTGTGTGTGTGTGTGAGAGAGAGAGAGAGAGAGAGAGAGAGAGAGGAGAGAGAGAAATATGAATAACCATATACAAAACTGAGATACATCTGTCGAAATAGGTATCCAAATAAGCCACCAAATTGTTACATTACATTTATGCAAGATAGAATGCTAAAATCTGCTTCACACAACCCCTAAGATACACATATTAATTATAAAAGAATACAAGGTATTTGATTCTTCACTATAAGGAAGAAAGCTGAAACCACGCACATTGTGATAGACAGATGAATATGAGAGCCTTGTACAATCAGGCTGTTGATATATTCTGTTGTACAATCAGAATATGTTGTCTCATATTCTGGATCACAGAACAGAACGATTTGGGAATCTCAAACCAGGACCGGAAGGAGATAGCCTCCAGTATCGCACAGTGACTATGATTCAGGGAGAAAGCAAAGGGCCATAAATAAGGGTAGACCTTGGTAGCCTGATCTTCCATGAACTTGTCCAGTCCTCTTTAAAGCCATCCAAATTGCTGCCATTACTCATTGTTGTCAGCAAATTCCATAGATCAAATAACCTGCTGTATAAGAGAGTAATTCATTCTGACGATCCTAAATTGCTCTACATTTTGTGTCAATGGATGATCTCAAGTTCTAACATGGAGAAAGGGAGAAAACTTCTCTTCGATCACTTACCTATATTGTGAATGATTTTGTGGACTTCTATTCTGTTTCCTTTACCCTCCTTCATTTCAAGCTATAGTTTCTTCTTGCTGGGAAGCAATTCCACTCCCAAATCATTTCTATTGTCCATTTTGTACCTTTTATAGCTCTGTATTGGTTTCATATGTTGGGTGAGCAGAACCACAAACAATACTCTAAGTGTAACCACAACATGGATATACAGCATATAAGGACATTAGTATCAACAATTCTATGTCAATTCCCTTTCTAATGATTCCAAAGACAGAATTCCTTTTCATTTAATTTTCTTTTGTAACAGCAGCTGCATACCTAGTTGGTATCTTCACTGAACCACCCACCATGACTCTAAGATTTGTCTCCTAGTCAGTAGTGTCAGCTCAAATTCCATTAATGTTTAGGTGGCTTAAAATCCTTTTAACCCTGTCCATCAAAAAATATATTATTTTTTCTTACTGAAGTAATAATAGTTTACTCCATAGCAGAGCTTGTGATTTAAACACAACATAGGTCAAACTGTACAGATGATATTTCCGATGACCCTTCAGAATTTTATTTTTCTATTGAAAGAAGTGGACTTCCAGATGCCATCAGCAATACAGTTCAATACTTGCATGAATGCAAGTCTCATTTACTATTATTTTTATATACATTCTTACAATCATAAATAAGAATTTTTTTAAAAAGCAATAAAGTTCATTTGAAACACAGGCATGTCTTGAGACACGTGTGTATGTACATAAGTTTGATTTCAGTACATGAATTCTAGTAAATACCCGATATGCTTTAACAGCATGTTATGACAGAGAGGAAGTGACAATGAACTGTTGTTCTCAAGTGCTTCAACCTTCATAATTCAGTAGTTAAATCTAGCATGACTGAGGCCACTGGCACCTTTTCTTGCTCATTCTCCCTTGAAACGATTGAGGGAAGTTGTTTAATGGCAATGCATATAGCTCTTGTTCCTTTCACAAAAACACTTGCAATCATCGAGTAGAAAAAGGCCAAAAGATTTGGGACTTCTTAATCTCAGTACAAGTTCAAGCAGACATCCATAAAAATGTGCATAAATAATTGTTTACAGTTTTCAGACAGAAACTGAATTGATCAGAGAGTCACTTTGCTCGGCTGTAATTTCACACAGTGTACTGTGATGTCCCATATTGGTAAAAAGGTTTCTTGATGGACTGCTTTCCAAAATGTCTGGACCTCTGGCCTCTGAAGCATCTGTGCTTACCACACTTCCAGTTCGAGAACGATATGGAGGAAGATCTAAGTGATTCCGGGATCCTGTTTCTGAGTAATATGGAGGCGGAGGAAGATCAAACCAGGGGGGTCTGCTGCAAAGTATAAATTAGATGTCAAGTTACCAGATGTATGAAATAAAAAAGCATCTGAATTTTGCTTCATCGAGTTATAAAGGCACAAATCTTGACTCTTGATAATGTATCTTTTCTTTTATGTATACTGAGAGCATATATACCAAGCCAAATTCTTTGTATGTCCAATCACATTTAGCCAATAAAGAATTCTTATTCTCCCTCCCTCCCTCCCTCCCTCCCTCTCATCTATCTATCTATCTATCTATCTATCTATCTATCTATCTATCTATC